CTCTGTCCTGTGATTGCACGGCAGAATCACAACCAAACCACACCCTGCAGATACTATTCTGTTGTGACGGATGGAGAAGCTGTCGCTCCCATCCCCGATCACATTGGACTTGTGGACTTGACCTGACTCCTAGCATAGTAACACTAATACACTGTCCTTTCTCAAGCACTATCTAGAGTTCCCACATACCTGGGGTCTGAGTCTTCACAGTGGAGCCTGAGGAAGCTGTGGCTGCTAGGGAAGTGCTGACATAAGGCAGATGATTTGAGTGACCTGTGAAAGCAGTGGTGGAGCTCCAAGTGACTTCAGGACCAGGGGCTGATTGAGAGAATGAAGAATTACACTTGAAATATAGAAACTTGGCATCGTATGAGTGTGCTTACGTAACTAGAGGAAATGGATTCAGAGCGGGGTGTGCTTGAAATGACAAATGAGGAAGATGACGTTTGTGTGGATTTTATCAAGTCATTGCTATGATCACCTGTCAGAGGAAGGACCACAGCAGTGATGTTTTCATGGATGACTGAGCGTGGGCATATTGTCAGAATTTCTCCATTCATGGACAAAATTGTGGAAGGGGAACTTGAGGTTACATCACTTAGGGTGATAGGAGTGACTGTCCTTGGCCTTCAGTTGACTCCATTGACAAGGTCTGTGTTCCTGTCTGACTTGTGCAGCTGTCGCTGACTGGTGCTGAGATAAATGTTGTGCTGATGCTTGAAGGTGACAGAGTGTGGGCCATGGTTTGGGGAAACGTGTGTCCACTTGGTGTTGAGGAAGGAGACGGAGATGTGACTGTTGAGGTGTCAGTCACCTGAGAGACTAAAGTGAGAGTTTCAGATGCTTTGGTGGTTACTGTACTAGTAATCTGACACATCTGGGAAATGGCTGATGTTTCCTAGGAGAGGCTCTGCAAGAGGTTGGGGATGATTGAACTATTGGTCCCCATGTTGTAGAGACCTAAGACATGGTGGGCAAAGTGGTACTGGTGATACGAACAGTCCTGGGGTAGTGACAATACTGGGTACAGTAGACAAC